TTGAGTGTATTGTCCCCATCATAGTTAACAATGTATCCAAGTTTTTTGCCATCTGTTAACTTTGAAATGGTGCCATATACATCATGTCATGCCCTTCAGAGTATTACTAAAAAAGGCAATTTTACTAGGACTGACTGACCCCTGGAGAAATCCACTGTATACTCTCGTCCAAATGACAAACAATTATTCACCACTACTTTCTATTTCCTGTCACTCACCCAGCTTTAAATCCAGGCTGTGGCTGTACTTTTTTTTTATTTTGAGGGATTCAGCTTTGCTTTTTTGTGACTTTTTATTTGCTAATCTATGTACACTGCATCAATTGCATTCTGCTCATCAATTCTCCTTGTTACCACCTCAACGTTCTCAGCAAGTTAACTAAACATTTGTTCTAGCTTTTCTGAATTAATGCACACTTGTCCTGGCAACTTGTAAATTTTGTCCCAGATTATCATTTCTAAAAGCTTTCCCACCACCAAGTTTAAATCAGCTGGCCTGCAGTTGCTGGGCTTACACTTTTTCTTTGGAAGAAGTGGATAATATTGCAGTTCTCTGGTTCTCTGGACAAATTTCTCCATCTAAGAATTGAATTGAATTAGCTTTATTGTCATATACTCAAATGAGTGCAGTGAAAATTTACAAGTTGCCACTTAAGGTGCCATCTTAGGTACAAGTTTCCTAGGTTCGGATTCTTCAATACAAGTTCTTAGGGAAAAAAAAGTAGAAAAATAAAGAAATAAAAAGCCAGCATTACAGATCATTGGAGTAAATTAGAAAAATAGACAAATAAAATTCCACAATAACAGTCCTTTCAAGCCAGTCCATGCCAGGCCTTGCATCTCTTCAAAGCTGGAAGTCCACCTTGGGCCAGAAGACCACCATGAGGCTGCTGAGAGACTGCCATGTTGAGCCACAAGAGACTGCGGGCCAAGAGGACGCCACACAGGGCCAGTATGATGCCTTGCTGGGTCAGCGCTAGGCGATGAGTCCAAATCTGCGCTGAGGCCAGGAGTTCAGGATATCACTGAGAAGAGAGAGGGAGATAAAAGAAAAAACTAACAACGGAGCAGAGGAGCTCTGGCTGAAGTGTCCTACACTGCTGCCATCTTGAAAAATAAAGAGCAGATTGGACAATTATGGCTAGTAAATCAACAAATTCACCATTGCTTAATTATCCCTTTCCCTCTCCCACTTCTCTTTTATCTATCTGTCTTTTCTAGGCCCATTTTGATTTAGGAATATTTCATGTCAAAGCTGCCCTTTTCAAAATCAGGTCATGTATTGCTGCCGTAGCATATTACCATGCAGTGATCTGTGCTTGTATCTCACCAATCTTATTTAACAGGTTTCAATTGTCTACATAAATGCACTGTAAACATAACTTGCATCTTATTGCAGCCCTTCTTGGTCTGGGCTCACCTAATACTTTGCAATTTCTTATTATTGTGCTGTTCCACTATTTTTCTGTACCTTGCTTCTCCTTTCCACTGCTATGTTTTGGCATCCATCCCCGTGACAAGTTCATGTAAATCCTCTTCCACAGAATCAGCAAACTGTCATACAACAACTTTGTTTCCAAATATGTTCTGATCTGCATTGGTCCTGCCACTGCCACACGTGTTCCCAATGGCCCAGGAACTAAGAGAAGATTTTCTTTCTGTACCATCTCTTCAGCCACACATTCATCTGCTTTATCTCCCAGTTAAATTCACTAATACATGATATTTACGTAATTCAGTAATTACATTTTGAGATCTTGCTTGCTCTTGTTTTTCCTAGTTCCTTAACATCTGTCTGGAGTACCTCCTCTTTCTTTCTACTAGTGCAGCTGGTTTGGTTATTAACTGGCATTCTCCACAGTATTCAGAATTGGAAAGCAGTGAACTGTGTCACCAACTGCCTGGGCCTCTTTATCTAACTGGTGTTCACCAATTTCCTCTCTCTACATTGTCTTAACTTGCAGGTGGTCACATCCAGAAACGTGAATTAGTTTATGATCACTTTGTTAAATGTTCATGCACCTTTATGCTCTTAAGTAAATCTGGCACATTCATAAATCTAATATGAAATATGCTCTTGTTTGGTTTGTATAGGAAGGAAGAGGCCATTGAGCCTGCTGAGCATCCTCCAGTCATTCAATTAGATCATAGCCAATCATATACCACAATGACGCAGTTCTGAGGAAGGGTCACTGGACCCGAAACGTTAACTCTTTTTTTCCTTCACAGATGCTGCCGGATCCGTTGAGCATTTCCAGCAGCTTTGTTATTCCTGATTTACAGCATCCGCAGTTCTTTCAGTTTTTATGTATCACAATGCCACTTTCCCACGCAATCTCCTTATCTTTAGATTCCTGGAGACTAATGATATAAATCGACTTCTGTCTTGAACCTGCTGAATGATTAAGTTTCCATAGCAATCTAGGTAAAGAATTCCAAAAATTCACCACCCTCTGAGTGAAGAAATGCCTCTTCATCTCAGTCTTGTATGGCTTTGTCCTTATCCTGAGATTATGTCCCCTCGTTCTACACTTACCAGACACGAAAAACATCTACATCCAATCTGTTAGGCTCAGTAAAATTGTTTTAAGTTTAAACAAGGTCACCTTGCTGAGACTTTAGGGAATATAGGCCCAGTGTCCATCTATCCTCCTAAAGCAAATTCCACAATTCCAGGGATTTGAACTGGCGCACCTCTTTTGCACTCCCTCTTTGGAACTATTTCCTCCCTGTAGATGAAGGAATCAAAACTGTACAGAGTATATCAGGTGACTCAACACAACTCTATGCAACTGCAGCAAGGCACCCGTATTCCTGCACTGAAATCCGATTGCAATGTAGACCAATGTATCATTTACTTTCCTAATTGCTTGCTGCACCTGCATGTTATCTTTAAGTGACTTATGAACGAAAACATCTTTTGGGGGCGGGGGAGTAAAAAATGAATGAGGATACCTCAGGTGGTTGTTGTGCAGTGTTGTGTCCCTATATCTGAACCAGGAAGCCCAGGTTCAAGCCCCATCTGGTCCAGAGGTGTGGATCATAACACATCTGAACAAGTTGATGAAAAATATCTGAATGAGATCACTTTTGGGCACCCAAACCTTTTACAAATTAAGAAATATTCAGCCTTTGTGTTTTTTTTTTTTCTCTATCAAGTTAATAACGTCAACTTATTACATTGCATCTGCCATGTTCTAGTCCATTTACATAGCCTGTCCAACTCCTCCTTGTATCCTCATCACATTTCAGTGTCATCAAAAATAATACAATTGATTCCCACATCCAAATCATTGATTCATGTATATCGTGAACAGCTGTGGACCTAGCATTGATTCTTCTGATATTTCACTAGTAATAGCCTGCCATCCCGAGAATGATTTTCCTTATTTTTACCCTCTGCTTTCTATCAACGAATTCTCAATCCATACTGGTGCATTTCATCAGATCCTTTGTGCTCCACTTTTATTTATTAACCTCTTGTGTGAGACCATATCAAAAATCTTCTGACAATCCAACTGCAGCACACACCCTGGTCCTCCTTTGTCTATGTTACAGGTAAGATCTAAAGAAAATATTTTAAAAATATGGTAACACCACTGCCTGCAAGTTCACCTCCAAGCCACTCACCATCTGACTTGAAAGTATAATGCTGTTCCTTCAGTGTTACTGGGTCAAAATCCTGGAATTCCCTCCCTATGGCATTGTAGGTCTGTCTGAACAAAACGAGCTGTAGCAGTTCAGGAAGGCAGCTCAACAACACCTTCTCGAGAATAATTAGAAATGGACTGTTTATTATTGCTCTCCTAGACCATGAACCCATCTTAAATGAAACAAAGAACTGTGGATACTGGAAATCTGAAAGAAAAGAGCAATTGCTGGAGAAACTTGGGTCTGGCAGCATCTGTGGACAGAAAGCAGAGTTATTGTTTCGAGTCCAGTGACTCTTCAGAAACTGCAGCCTCTTAACAAACTCAATAAACTTAAAATTGCTACAAATTGCTAACTGCTTACATTAGACAACTGTGTTTTAAGGGTAACCCTTAAAATGATCAAGTATGGTGCCTAGAATTGTACACAGCATTCCAGCTGAGGCCAAAGCATGATGTGAGTCATTTAGCAGGACTACCTTATTTTGTATTTAATGCTGCTATTTACACACCCTGAAAGCCCATACACTTACCTGTCTTCTCAACTTGTCCTGCCACCTTCGAAGATTTTTTAAAATGCTCCTCCAGGTTACTGTGCTCTGAACTTAAAATGATTCATGCTGCCTGTCCATTTTAACAAAGTGCACCATTTCATACTTAATCTGCATGAAATTGCATCTGCTGTTTCAGAAGTCTATGCCCATCTGAAGTCTGTTATTTTGAACATTATTTGCTAAGTTGCTAAGTTTTTTTTTTAAATCATCCACAAAGTTCAAAAGTTGTGTTGCCTAGACCCATGTCCAAGTCATTTACATATATAATGAGCAAAGCTTTGTTCCTAATACTGACCGCTGAGGAACCACATGACAAACTCTGTTCAGGCAGATAAAATGTTGTCTTCACCACTTTGTGCTACAGTTATATACCCAAGTCACCATTGTCTGATTGATACCTTGAACCTCTGTTTTCAGAATAAATATTATGTGGTACTTTCTTGGATGCTTTTTAGAAGTTCATACCAACAACATCTACTGTGCTAGTCTCAGCAGCTAATTATGTTACTTCATCAAAGAACTCCACTTTAGTGAGGCCTGGTTTGGTTTCCATGAATTGGGATTGAATATTCCTTATTAACCGGTGCTTCTCAAGGTAAAATTAATTTTGTCATTAACAATGACTTTGACATTTCTTGAACAGGCTGTAATATTTGCAATTCTCTGGTACCACTTGTATGATCGAGCAGTTATAATTATATTGACAAGGATAGCCAGAAATATTTTGCAATGGAGACTGATGATGTTAGCCATCTGGAAGGGAATTCAGCATACTAAACTTTTATTTTTCCTTGCAGGATCTAAGCCAACTCCTCGCTCCAATTATAAGCCTCCTCCGCCCAATGGATGTGGCTCTCCTATGTTTGGAGTTCATGTAAGGAATACTTTGTCAAAGATTTGCACCTTGCATCTTTCTTAATTTTATTAAATCTCAATAATGAATGAAATTCTTCAATGATTTCTCGAGTAATCAATATAAATTTACTGAACAGAATGTTTTATTGGTATTTCATGCTGGGATTGTTGCATATCTGCAAAGTCAGTAGACTGAGTAAAATTACATGCTTTGTTAAGATCCCAGCTGAAGGGATTGTGGACAAGTCAGATTCCAGCAAGGATGCTGGCTTGATAGATCATATATTTAATTTTTTTGCAGTTGGTTAACATGGTGTTTAGTCAATGAAACAACTTACATAATGCTATTAACATTCTTCATTAGCAGACCAAAAATTTATTACACAAAGAAAACAAAGCTTTAAATGTCGAAGACAGATATTGATGCAAAAATCAAAACAATATTTCAACCTGCTTTCCAAACCATGTACTACAGAGACTTAATTCCCAGAAAAATATCATTCCTCCATCAGCTGTTTAAATCTTTAATTAACTTTCTTATTTGTTTTTCTTGATCTGCAGTGACAATTTTACAGTTGACTTCCAAGTCTGATGACATGGTTCTTTTGTAGTTCTGATGGCCCAAACTTTCTCATTTTTAACAATGTATGGTTTCTAATCAAACTCGTCAAGCTTGGAAGCTCAGAAACCACTTCTGAAATGACTGGTCCCCCGAAATGGGTTGATTCACCTGCGAGGAGAACCTTTTCTGTATTCTGGACTTCTGGCTTATCTGAATGAAAACTTTGAATCTTCAATTCTGAAATCAAAACTAAACTAAATGTCTTAATGTATTTACTCTGCAAGTCAGAAACCCAACAGACTAACTATTTTAGAGGTAGTAGGAACTGCAGATGCTGGAGAAAATGAGACAACAAAGTGTAGAGCTGGATGAACACAGCAGGCCTAGCAGCATCAGAGGAGCAGGAAAGCTGACATTTCAGGCCTAGACCTTTCTGAAGAAGGGTCCAAACTAACTCTTTTCTCCATTAACACTGTTCTCTCAGGTTCTGAACTGAAATCACATTCTTTCCTGGAACTAATGTAGTAAGGTCACTGTTGAAAAGGTCAGGAAGTCAATTTGAAACCAAAAATCTTCCCAGAGCCGTTTCACATCCATTCTGTTCTATTCTGAAATCCAAATCCAAAAATACAATATGCAATACACCTTTCATCATACCTCCACAAAAGAAAACCTCAAAATATATCCTTCAGAGACATTTTCACTTTTCATCAAAAAGTTCTTTGCACTATTTCTGTGGCACAGCAATCATATTTGCCTGAACTATATACCTTTCCATGCAACCATATCCTATGTCAGTGCATTTTGATCATAGTATCTGTTTCATTAATATTTGTTCTTGACAAAGTATTTGCTATATATGGGGACCAAAAACAAAGTTGCTGGAAAAGCTCAGCAGGTCTGGCAGCATCTGTGAAGGAAAAA